TGTTATTGCATTTGTGTTAAACTAAATAATGTCGTTATTTATGTCACATCCACAAATAGTATTTTTTTTATTATATATAATAATAGTAGAAAGATCTTTGCTACTCTGTTATGCAAAGAACGTTCCATATGATCTCATAGCAAGATTAAAAAGTTAAGGATTAGTGAACTGCAGGTTAGAAAAAAATTACATTAAGTTCTTGTTTCCATTGCTTTTTGTTGTTTCAAAATGTGTTACTTGTAATTTGAGTCAAGAGCGAAAAATTTATTAGCACTGATTGTTTTTAAATGTCTTCTCTTGTTCACTGAGAAAATTAAGAAGGAAATTTATCGCCTGTAATTATATTTCTTGTATTTGAAATGACCAGATTTTCAAAAACTGATTATTTGCATGTACAATAAAATGAAGTGATAAATAAATTATTGATGTTTTCATTATGGATCAAAGTACTTCGAAATTTAAAGTCATTTGTGGTTTTGTTACTTAAAATTTAGTACTTCATTTTCCTTATTTTCATGAAGTAACTATCTGAAATATATCAATTCAAGATCAATTTGGATATTAATGCCTATTTTTTCTTGACATTGAATACTATTTATTAATTTTATTCAAATTAAGCCGAATTTTAGAATTTGCATAATTAACATAAAGAAGTCAATTATCTAGCAAAGTAATAAATGCATTAGTGCTTCGAATTTATTATTTCTTGGGGTTGCTACTTTCATAAATAACTTTTTTCAATCCTCGTTTACTTTCTTCTATATTCATCTATATCTTTTTCCTTAAAACTTAAGTGTGTTGATGAGGTATTGAAATTTATAACATTGAACAGCAAGATGAAAACTTTTTTTTGATTTCTGTCCACTCCATGCTTTTACTGCAATTACTTCACCTTTTCTATTTCAATCCTTTGTAATGCAAATTTTAATCGATATGAAGTATTATTATCATTATCAATGATAAAAACTGCATGAAATTCTATAGCTTGTGATAATCCTTGCATCAGCAAAAAGTATTTGAAGATAGGTTTTACGGAAAGATGATCTAAAGCATAAACAAAGGGCTGCATCACATTTCGTTTACAATAGTTAAGAAGAAATTGCATTTCCAGCGTTTTTCTCGCATTTTTTTTTTGAACTTACTAATGTTTATTTTGCTGATTGACAGCTTTCATTTTTTTCACCCTCTTCTTATGACTGTAATAAATGGAAGTTACTGTTTTACTCTTGCAGTAGAATGAAACTGCATGAAATTCAATATTTGATGTTATTAATTGGAAAGAGTTTTTTCATCTTTGTTAACTCTTCAGATTTATGTATTTCGCAAATATCAATGGATCAGTTTTTTAGGTGGACAAGACCTATTTTGCTATGCTTTATGCATTATGACCCCATGTAAGAGTTGGTCAAATGATGGCTACTTTTTCACTAATGTCACATATTTCTAAATAATGAAGAGCAATTTATGAAGTTAGTTTCCCTATTTTGAATAGCAGAGAACATAATTTTGATATATAAAAGCTGAAAAGCTTCTGTGATAAACATTCAAGAAATAATATTACGAAAAAGAATTAGTATGGTTCCGCATCGGATTGACTACTGTATTGTCAGCTATTTATCTGTTAATCATTAATTTCATTATACAAATAATATGAATAAGATAATGCAGCTATTCATTATAAAGATTAAATGCTAAGCTGTAAGCGTCACTATGGTAATCTTTGATATTGTTAAAGCTTGTTTTGCTATCTATAAATGCTTGATGCAACTGTTTATAGAAAGTTGAACCCGTTAAAGCAATTACAAACATTACGTCACATTTAGATGATATGAAAATAGGCTTACTTGTGCCTGTTTTCAAATTAACACGTAATTTCGTTATAAAAAACTGCACAACTGTGAAAGAATTTTCATGTTGTAAAAATATCAAAACAAAATATGGTATCTTAAAAAGTATTTGCTTGAAATTATTAATGTCTCTTCACCAATTGTTTATTAATTCATTTGTTGTTAGTTTTTAAGTCAGTAAAATATCTATCTCCTTCTTTCAATAATTGGTCTTTTTTTCTAAATTTCAGTACGACTCAAGAAAGTTCCTTTCTAGGAGTGAAAATTATAAACTAAAAGGTTTTATTTTCAAAAACGAACTTTATGCTTTATTCATCTAACTTTTCAGTATATCCATTTATTATTTAGCACTCAATTTATAAAATCTTCTGGAATGAAAATGAAATGCGCATGGTTCATTATCATTTATTAGCTAATGTAGCATCAGATGCAACATCAAAACATTTTCATATATATTAAAAAGATTTTTGCGTCTTTTTAATATTTGCAAATTTGCTAGTTGCATTTTTGCATAAAACAATTCTAATATTAGTAAAAAGTTTTTCCTGCATTACAAGAATAGAATATCTTATTACTCAGATCTTTCATATTGAGAGGTTTTTGTGATTTTACGCTCAATTTGGTTCAACTTTTGTTCTTATTTTAAACGAAATCTTAGTTTTTTAAAACTGAGAGGAAAAAAGACCAGCAGAAATAAATAAATAATGGTGGCTGAAATGGTTCTTTCAAGTTTTACTGAATTGAATAATCTTTTGCAACTTCTACTCTTGCAAAGCAATCTGCCTAATTTCTTGTTCTACTCATTGTATTGTTGTCAGTTCCTTAATTTTGAGTGAAAAAGTTGAAGAGAAACGTCAAATGGTAAGATAAAATTTATTTTAATTTTCATTATTTTCTTGTATTCTTTCTGTTTCTTATCAACTTCAAGACAAAAGTAAACGGAGCGGAGCTTTTTAATGTTTTTACGACTATTGCTTTGATGCTATAACTGAAACTTCAAAGTTGTTTCGGAAGTATATGTATCAAGTTTTTTTATTATTTGGAGTAAATAAATAGAATCCTTTTTTTTCAAAAAAAAACAGATAGTTGGAAAGACCAGTGATTGGAATTGAAGCAGAAAATGATGTCATTGTGAAACAAATTTGGTATAAACGTGTCTTATCATGTTTTGTGATTACAATACAATTTACCGCTATCACCATTAATACTACTTCTGTTAGTATTGCTACTATTAATACCCAATTATAACGATTCCAATTACTATCGGCAGAGAAAAAGTAATTCATCTATACTCGCTATGTTTAGACATAAGCAGTAGTATTTGACTATCAGTCAGTAGTATTTAATTACAATTCAGTATGGAACTAAATTCAGGTTAAAATTCGTCAACAGATTAATCAGTGCTTCTTCTATTAGCGTAATAATTGAGACATCGATTTTGCCTGAGTATTTATTCAAAATTAGGTGGGTAAAGTAAGAGAGAAAAAGAGCTTTGTCAGCTTCTGCGTTTGGCTAAACTGCAAAACTTTCAACTTATCTAAATCACTCATTTAGCAGTTGACGCATGTCACTTTGTTGAATTATAACTTTGATTCAAATATTGACTTCATTTTGATTTTCAAACATTTTGCTATTCTTTATTGTCTTCAAATACTTTATAATATTGTCACTTGCCATTCTTACTTTTATCTCAGCAATTAAAAATAGATGAAAAGTTAGGCTAGTTTGAATTATTAACCGAAAGGAAATTACTCTCACCAGACTTTTTTAAATTTTATATTCATCTAATTAATGACCTCTGAATGAGTGTGTCTGTTCATTTGTATGTACAGAAGAAACTTCTTTACTCTTTTTTGCTATTGTTACTATATCAGTTTTTATATGAGATAATGAACTGCTTAAACATGAATGCTTTCCTTCTATCAAACGTTAATCAGATAATTCTCCTCTTCCTAATTTTTTTTTTCTCACTTTCATTTGTAATTCTTTTATTTTTCTCGCGCACATTACGTCATAGCTTTTTTTACTTTTCTTTTTTTCCTGCACTTTTGAATTGAATTATATATATATATAATATAGCGAGTTATATATATATTATATATATAACTCGCTTTTGTAGTTCCGTAAAAAAACATTGCTGTTAGATAAAATCAGTATGCACTTCGTTTGTTACTAAATATATTATACTTTCAACATATTATCTATCAGTGGTTGCTTATCTTTTCACAAATACTTTTTTTAACTTGGAATTTGAATGCACTCAAAGTTCAAAAATAGCTTAAGTAAATCGTTGGATTAATTTTACCTTACTAAATGTATATACTTTATCAGTTTATGAATGCAGCTCGTTTCATATAAATGGTTCTTATCATCTTATTTGCTTTAACTAACAAGTAGTAAGGAAATGTAAATAAATATTATTTTATGCATATGATACATGTCATTAATTTGTTATTATTCTAGCTTTAGCAAGCGAAATTTACTTTGATTGAAATAGTTGATCATTGATATTGCTTATCAGTGCTTGTAATTATCTGCACAATATGAATGGAAATAAATTGTCTCGTTGTATTCGCTTGCTTTCGCAACGATAAACAAGACAATAAGCAACAACGTCTTGTTGTTATTTCACTCTAGAAATACCACCATCACAGTGCTACTATCATGTGTCTTACTTTACTCTCCTTCAGTAAGCAATCTGACTATTGCTATATCAATGATACATTATGCGAAGAAGTTTTATTGAGATGCAAAACTTTCAACCTCAAATAAATGATCATTGATTTATATGATGGCAGTATACTCCTTCTACTATTAACTGAATACTTAGCTATGACTGATTATTTTGCATTGTGAATTATTGTAACGTGTGGCATTGGAGGCTTTTTTTATTCAGTTTAAATTTTCTGGCAGCTGCTCTTTCTGGCTCTTCTACTCAATTCATTTAAAGTTGTGCTGGAAAAAGATTTTGAAAGGAAAGAAATTTTCGCTTTGTTTTCATTTCAACTTTGGAATATTTCACTTATATTTTTGCATTCCTTATACAAATTACTTCTTTCTACTGATATTTTGTATTCTGTTTGCAAAAACTCTAAAATGAATTACTCTCTCATTGGCGTCAAAGTTTGCTGAAATTGACGTTTGCTAAATAAGATGTCATCAGTATCACTTCGGTTAAGCGCTGATGAGTCTGCTCGAGAAGATAATAATATAGCGTTAAATCAGTCGATGCCTGACGCTTACAGTGATGTCAAGAAAGTAGCAATGGTTCGAAGCTCTTCGGAGTTGTTACCAACGCGTCTGGAGCAATCTTCATGGCCGAATCGATTATCCTGCTACCGCTTAGGTACCACCATGAATGAAGTACCACTCATTGGTGAATGCCGCTCCTGTGCTCAAAGCTATCACTGCAATTGCTGTCCTGGGTGCGACCATCTGGTCATCATTTACGCGGTCGGTTGTCAGAAATTTTTAACAGAAAGAGAAATTCGGCAAGTCACTGCAGAAAAAAAAAAGCAACTTTTTTTTTTTAACATTTCTTTGTGACAGTTATAAATTTTGCAAAATTCTTTCTCTGTTTATCAGTGGGACATTGTTTCATTTTGCTAGCAATATTGAGAAGAAATTAACATTGCATGTGAGAGCATTTTTAAATATTCATATTTGCGAGTTTGTGTAAATGAGAATATTATATGAGTATTCATATTTTTGTTACTTGAAGCATTGCAACCAAAATCTTAGATGAAATCAATATTTGATCTTGATTGAGTACCATTGAAATTTGATTCTATTCAGCGATTTAATCGTCATAAACAATTAGTACTTTTCTTCAAATACATGATATGTTGAAGTTGTATAATCAAGAAAAATACAATTTTTTTGTTTATTCTCATTTACACAACTTTAACATGTTATGCTTATGAAGACAAAATATTAAAAATGAAAAGGTATTTCAACAGCAGTAAAACGAAAAAAAATTTCTGAAAGATTGTATAAGAATTCTGAAACAAAAAAAAATTAGCGAAAACTCAGTTTAATTTATATGATATTATTATAGTATGATTATTCAAAAGTAGTATAAATAATTGATTCGTTTCTATTTTTGGTTTTCTTTTCGTATACTTGCATGCCTTATATCAAACTGTGTAATTAGATTTAAAATCTAGAAATGTCTAGATATACTTCAGTTATGCTGCATATTTTCAATGGCATTGAAAGTTACTTATACATTTTTACTTACTTATTCATTTTTTCGCAGACTAATCGAAATTTGCCTTTCTAATTTTATTATTACTTATGAATTTTTAATCTAATTAAAATTTATTCAAAACCTATAAATTTAATGTATGTGAAGGGACTAAATAATGCAAGAATATCATATACAATTTGTTAAAATATCTTGAAATCAAAAGTGTAATGACTGGAGGACAAAAATTTGTGGTTAATAATGCTTAGTTAAAAATAATACGAAATTGAATAATAACTTGATTAATTACTTGATTTCTGTCTCGTTGCATAGGCTGAAAAATCAACAGTCTTAGACAGAGAAGAATTAAGCAAAAATTTCTAAGTTATTTAAATCGACTTTCTAGTAGTCAGTATGTATTTTGCCCAATGCGTCAATGTTATTCAATCGCCACCGTTTTATTAGCGTCTTAGCTAGCATATGATTGTCTTTCTTTTTAGATTATTTCTAATCAAATAAAGTATTTAATCTCCTTTCAGTAATGATAAAATTAGAAATTTTCACTTTTTCAAATTGAGCTGATTTTGAAAAATCCACACTTTTCTATCTGTCCGTATGAGAGCAGAAGAATTTGGAATGCATAATGGATGTGTTTTATTTACTCCGATTACAAATGTTTCGCTAACATTCCAACGATTTGTTGTTCATTTAATTTTTTATACTCTCATTCAAGAGTGTAATTTAATTTTATGATTTTGCACTCTTGCCTAAGGTCTCTTGCCTAAGGACTACTACATCAAATAGTCGTTTTTTTTTAATAAGTTCAAAAGTTATGAATTTGGGGCGCAATTTTTTACATATTATAAGTAATGAGGTGAATAAGAATTATTTATGCAATGCAGAAACAATTTCATTGAAAAAGTAAATAGATGACTTTCAAAACTAATTTTTATAATGCATTTTAATTATCTAAATTGATTTATTCTAAAAGCTTTTGGGTTAGTTAATTCGAATTAAACAAAATCATAAATTTCTTCATTTGAAAATAATTCTTTTAAATTAAAAAATAAAATTTACAGATGAAACTGAACTTGTTAATATCATTATACATCAAGTTTTAAAATCTTAAACTTTTTCATTTCTAATAAAAATTTATTTTGCTTATTTTTGCTGTACTTGAAGTTTTAAGACTTTCACTTTTTTGTCGCAATCGGTTAATTGAAATAATTTTTAGGATTATTTTCTTTTTGATTTATTTTTCTCTTACTTCTCATCAATATCATTTTCAATTTAGCTCTGTACTTTTAATCTTGAGTTGATAATCAGTGATTACTTAGGCGTTCAACAGTTAGTTTATTAACAAGCTTACATTAGTACATTGCTTTTTGCGAATTACATTCATTTCACTTAATTTTATCGGTTGTATATATAATTGTTTTTCTGATTTCACAAAGTAAAGATCTCTAAACTGTAATCTAAAATAGTAACAATTTCTATGAAATAGTAATTGAAATAATAATTATTTACTCACTTATTTTTTGATTACTTTTTATGATCATTTGTTCTTACTATTGACTGATTTTTTTAGTTTTTTATCTTAGACGTAATTTAGTATTAATGACGATACTTTGAACTTTGTTAAAGATCAAAGTATCTCGTATTCATTAATAAATAATTGATCGTTCGAGTATGCACCAAATGTTATGATTTGGTTTGGAAATTATGATTTGGTAGCACATACTAGCTTATAATACAAAAAATAAGTCAACTTATTACTTTCATTAGTGCTACTAAATTTATTTGGATCGTATTATTACATCGTATAATACGATCCAAATAAGTTGACTCTTACCTCCTGTCGTATAAATGTACAAAATTATTTATTATAATTACTGCTTGCCTTAATTCTAGCTCTACTAATTTTTTTATTTTCTCCCTTAACATCAGCTGCTGCACTTTTCACTGAAATTAACTACTTTTTAATCTAAAAATGGTTAAATCTATTTAATTTCTTTTGTAACGCTGCGTTTTCATATTAAGTTAGCATATTTAAGATTGAAAATGTTGGCAATTTGTTGGGATCAAAATGATAATGTAAAATAATTAAAATAATTAATTAATTTCCCCTCATCATACATACCCACGATCCCATCTTATCTATGAAATAAGAATTTCAGTTTCACTTGCTCTACACCTTTAAGCTTTTATAACTTTTCATTTCTGTTTGTTAACATGAAAAGTAGCCAAAAAATTGCCAGTAATTTATTAAAGCAGTTAGTTCCTCATCTGATCACTTTTCTATTGAATAGCATTTGCTTATCAGATAATAGTATCATTGATTTTTTAAATTAAAAGTTGATCTGTAATTTATCGTTTTTGCTTTTTAGCAAAATTTAGAAATTTTTTCCGTAAATCATTGTTTATTTGAAAAAATTATTTTCTTATTAGCTAGAGATTATAGCTTGAATTCGTGCAAATGTCTAATTAGATATGCATTGAAAAGAACGTGAAAATTATCATAAAATAACACTTATTTATTTTTTGATATTGTTCATAATAAGAAAACTTTGGCGTGCTTTTTATTGGGCATTAAATTTGGCATGTTTGCTGAAAATTACTTATGTCTGACAAAACGTAGTTGTTTATTGAAAAAAAAATTGCTAATATAAGTTCGTGAAGTCTGAAAACATCTTTTGATTTGATTAAAAATGTATCCTGACAAAACATTCTTCCTTACTTGCTATTTTATCGCAAAGCTCTCATAAATTAAACTCATTTAGTCCAGAGATTTTTTGCTTTTTATTTTTTCACATTTACAAGTAATAGTTTTTTAAGGACTATAACAAGAACTCCACATATAACACTGTTAGATTTTCCAGCTTAATCTTAATGTTGATTAATTAGAATGTTCTTAATAAAACAACAAACTCTTCTCCAAAGAGTCATAAATCATACTCTTTAATAATTGACATTTTTTCATCTTTCTTGTGTTTATTTCTTCCTAGTTTTCACTGATAGAGACAAAATTATAAGATTCATGAGTCGAAGTTTGAATTCAGTATTGCATAGATACTTCAGTTTTGTAATTCAAGCATGCATCACCATCACTAGTATTATCTTTTTAGTAATGCAATGTGTGACGTAGCAAACACTGCATTACTTTATTCATAATATTTGTGAATTTCTTATATTAATAATATCACTTTTAATACTTTAACTTCTTTTCGTTGTTCGCTAAATATATTTCTGAAGAAATAACTAAATTTGAATGAGGAAGGAATGATTGTTTTTTGCTCATTGCAGTATTGATATTATTATTTAAAAACCCTCATATTATTTTATTTTTTGCTTCTAATAACTTTCTCAAGTGTCATATATAATATCTCATAAATTATTTGTTAGCAAAGAAATGAACATTTTAGATATCTGTAATGAAATTCCCACCTCAGTTTTTAAAAAATTCCATTTTGAAAACAGTCTATTTTAAATTTTATCACATGCTTTTGAAATCCTTACAAAAAGCGTTTACTGTTTTAGGCTTCAAAGCCACGTCTTTCAAATATCACATTTTCCACAGTTACAAGTGCTACTGGATTGCCAACAATTGCTACTGAACCATCTAGGCCTCGGTCAAGCAGGTTAGCTATGCATGACATATTGATTGTTTTTAAAAAGCTGCATTGAACTTTAACTTCTGCTTCAATATCATGCCGTATTTTGTGAAAGCAAACTATGCAGAGCTGAATGATTGAAATAGCTTTTGAAACAAACTCATAGTAACTAGCAAATGTGTAAATTAGAAAAACGATGTTGAAAGAGTGAATCAGATCTTGCAGTTATTGGAAGCAGTCCGATCGAGAAAGTAGTAAAGGAGCTGGCGGCAGCAATATTGGTGGTAGTACTATTGCTGGTGAGGAAAAGTTTAATAATTATAAACCAGAAAGATCCAAAACAACTGGAACTGATATTTACCCATTCATCGGCTTCATTTTCTTACTTTTCATTAGTTTTAGCTTCTACATTTTGATTCCAAATCAGATAATTTCTCGATTTGATGATTCTAACTTGAATTTTATTTCTTCAACTTATGTAGATTGAAACATTAACTTGTTCATTTAATATTTGAAAAACTGGAAGTCATATGAAATTCTCAGACAAGGAAAAGCAGAAAATAAGTAATTATCTTTCATCAAATGAAGCCAGAAAAGATGATCGAAATGTACCAAGTAATAAAGTCGACACAGATGCTGTGGCTTGCACGAGGTAAGAAGTGATTTACTGCATGCAGCTCTTACTAACCAAACCTTCCATCATTTTTGTAGCGGACTGTATGATAAAAAAGCTAAAATAGTAAATAATGATGTATCATTATTGTTAGAGTGTTAATAAATAAAGTGTAAGTTATTATTATGATTGCATTGAAAATTTAACATTTGTTGCAGTTTGGAACAAGTTGAAGGGTTAGTGTTGAGTACATCGGATGGCACTAGTTATAACTGCAAAGAACTGAATTCAGATAATGTATTGGCTAGGATTTCTGAGTGGGACTTTCCTATCTTTGATTTTGCCGAGAAGCATCCCAACACTACTCTCAGCAGGGTAAAAGATGCGTCTAAGTTATTGTTGTATAGATGAAATTGTATTGCAGTATTCTGCATTTTATCATTTTGCAAAAAATAACCATAAATACTTTTGCATATTACGTTTAGATAACCGTTATTAAATGTGAATTAAGAAAGGAAATTTAAAGTTTATGTTTAAACTAATTGCGTTTTGTGCAGGGCAAAATTGTTAGGAAGTAATGCAAGAATAAATGTATTATTGTGTCATTTATAGATAACTTATGCAATATTCCGAGAAGTTGGCTTATTTCAAATCTTCAAAATACCGCCAAAAAAATTTTTCAACTTTTTTCATTCATTGGAATGTGGATATTGGGATATTCCTTGTAAGTTGTTGTTAACAACATAATTGAACAAAAATATTTTTGCTTTTTTATCCGTCGAAAAAAATTTTAGATCACAATCGTATACATGCAGCAGATGTGTTACACGGGTGCTACTACTTAACATGTCATCCGGTGCGTGCGCTGCTTGGTACGTCGACAAACTCTGCGGATCCTTTTTTTCCATTTCTTGAAAATTCTCCGTTACCCATTTCAAGCAGCATGAGTACACTGGAAGTAAGAAATATTTACTTGTTGACACTTTAAAATGATTTTAGAATCGATTTTTTGCTGAATTCGAAATGTTGCTCTAATTTTCTAAACTTTATATGAAACGGAAAATATTGTTGTTTTTAGTTGATAAGTGATTAAATAAGAATACTCCAAATAAGAAAAAGGTATCATTGGTTATAACACTTATTGATAAGTTAATATCGTTATTCAAGTTTAAATCGTCATATTTTCTACTCATGATTTGCCGCAGAATCCAATAATGTATTAAAATTATTCAATCAAAAAGTATTATCTTGAAAAAATTATTTAACTTTGCTATTTTATAATGAAATATTGAACAGCTGCATTTGATATATGTTGAAGTTTTTTATATTTAGAAATGGGATGCATATGTATTTTTAAATTCTTTATAGCTAATGGCATTATTCACCGCTGCAGCAATGCATGATTATGATCATCCTGGCCGTACCAATGCATTTCTTGTTGCTGCTGAAGATAAAAAGGTGCGCTTCAACTTTGTATTCGTAATTCAAGTAGTCTAAAAAGTTTCATCAGTTTTTTTTCCTTGGCATTAAAAAGTTCTAAGATATTTATTGATTATTAATTTTCAAAAGTTTTCACATTTATCAGCTAGAATAATGTATTGGTTAGTTAGTCATTAAAAGATTTTTATCCGTCAAATAATCATCCTCAGTTGTATACATAATTTAAATACGAAAAGTTGATTTTGTTGTAGATAAGTGAGCTAAAGCTTTCTTACATTCAAGCCATTCAAGCATAGTAGATGAGAAAGATACTGCTTTGAAATTAGATAGGTAATTGTTGTCTATCTTATTTTATTATGTACATGACTACTTCTTTTTCTCAACCTTAGTCTACAAATTTTCATTCTATCCCAGTGCAAAAATTCTATTCAAAAATTAATGATCTGCTGATTGAAACTGCAGAAAGATATCACATATATTTCCTTTTCTCAACTCTTCCCTTGTAGTTGTTAACGAACGACAATCATGAAGTTATTATGTCAGTTGTAGTTTTAGAGAAGTAATTAAATTTTGAATTTTTGTCACAGCTTTTTTCTCTACTTTTAAAACATTGAATATATCTCATTGTCAATCAGTAAGACGTAAAAATGAATGTCATTTCAATTTTCTGTAATCGCTATGCAACCAACTTAAGTTCTTCACTTTGATATATTCATGTTTAACCAGTCGATTTTCAAATACAAAGGCGATGAAATAAAAATAGCATCTGAATTATTTGCTGATATACTTCATATTAGTTTCCGCTCATCATTACTAGTCTTGAACTGGGTAAATACCGCGATTCATAGATTAGTAATAAATTTTAAAAAATGAAATTTTTCGTTTGATAAAGCCCTAATTTCAAAGAGAGTGAAAGTTAAGAGATGGAACGAATGTATATTATTCATTTCTTAAAGTTTGAAGATATAACATGATAATATTAATTTTCATAGAGTTAAATATTCTTGATTTTGCAGGCTATATTATACAATGATCGGTCAGTACTAGAAAATCATCATGCTGCTGAATCTTGGCGTCTTCTATCGAAGCCTCAAAATTGCTTCATTGAAACATTGGATGCAGCAGAAACGAAACGATTCAGGTCAGACAGTGCATTAAGTCGTTCTTTTTTTAAATTATTTGTTGGTTGTTATTTATTCCTTGCAGTGCTTTTTAGAAACATTTTTCAAATTTTTATTTGTAATCAAAGCTTTGTAAGAAGCAAAAACAAAAAACTTCTGAATATGTCTTTCAGTGAGCTGGAATGGTGTGATTAATATATTCACTTTTCTAATATAGTTCCTTTTATTGGATTTTCGAGAAAATCAAGTGTTCAAAAAAGAAAGTAGTTAGAATTGTAGGAATAGTTCCTCTTGTCATCTATATTAATGCATTTAATATTTACTCTTTCCATATTGCTCAAGAACTGTTGTAGTGTGGTTAGTTAAAAGCAATTGTCTATAAGAGTAGCTTATTAAAATTTTATGGAATTCAAAGCAATTTTTGAAACATGTATGACTAATTTTAACAAACAGATATCTCGTGCTGGAGTACATCCTTGCCACTGATCTCAAGCTCCATTTCGATATCATCATGCAGTTTAACGAGAAGTCTGCAGATATGGACCTGAGCAACGAATCAAATCGCGTTCTTGTCTCTCAAATGCTTATCAAATTCGCAGATATTAATAGTCCTTCTAAACCTTATCCACTTCATCGTCAATGGACGGAACGTATTTGTGAGGAGTTTTATGGTCAGGTAATCATTTAAGCAAATTTTTTTCCTGTTTTTTTTTGTTAGTTTTTTTCGATTATTGTTTTGTTCAGTGCTTAGCATATATTTAATTTCATGAAGTATTATTCGTCTTTGCAACTGCGCATTATTTTTCTTGTTGACATGATGGAAATATTCTTTTTATTTTTTAGAGATTTAAAAACTTAACATATTTCCGACAGTCTTATTTTGCAATATATATTTTGAGCAAAGGAAAGTATTTTTGTTCATTTTCACTAAAGTAGTTCCATCCATACTTTTGTTTTTACCATCAATTTCTAAAAATCCATCAAAGATTGAGTATATTCAGGGAGATGAAGAAAAACTTCGTGGCATGGCAGTATCACCTTATATGGATCGAGAGAATCCAGCAGTGGCGAAACTGCAAGATTCTTTCATTTCGCATATAGTAAGCCCATTAGCGGTTGCTCTTAACGAAGCTGGTCTGCTTCCAGTCTTGCCGGGTTTGGAAGAACCCGAAGTAATCATCAACTTGAAGCATAATCATCAAAAATGGTTACGTGAATTAGAATCACAGAAGCCATCCACAACAAGCGTTGATCAAATTGCTAGTACCATACCTCCTCTCAGTACTCAGGCATCTTCAGCATTACTCGATTCTTCAACTGATATCATTGTTGAAGAAGAGGCAAGCTCAATTTTATACATATCCATTACTCCGAATATTTATTACATTTGTTTATTTCAGTAGTTCACCGCTTTATCACTCGTTTAATTTGTGTCATTAACGTATAGTTCTAATCTGTGTGATACAATTTCATTTTGAGCAGTTTTAAAAATTAACACAATTGAAGGCTATAAAAATACATAAATTCACAATAATACTTACTTGAAAAACCGTCATAGCAGATATCTTTTTTCCAGTAAAGTTTTTTTTTCCATAAATTTTAACGGTGAATATAATCCAAAACTTTTATAGTAATTTAAATCCATTTTTGTGGAATCTAATCTATTTCAATTCAAATTATATATTACAGACTGGTGAAGATTGTACCAGCGAGTTGAGCAGCAAAGACTGCAAGACTGAAAATAGGTGCTGATGAAACGGAATGCTGTTCATTTCATTTTTATGATGTAAAGTCTTCCTTATAGTTACTGCTAATTTATGCAATCTCTTATTCATTGAATAACTAATACTTTAGATTATTTGTGTTTCCACAAAATTCTGTCAGAACTATTTTATTAAATTAACTAAGAAAATTTTTCATGCAGCTCAGATTTCTTTTTGGATTATCTGCTATTGGAAGATTTGTTTAATTAAGACTGAAAAAGATTAAAAAAATCGGATTGTTCAACTTTAAAAATACGACTTATTCTTACATTAGTTGTTTTTCAAGCAGAATTTACCTGCTCATACTTGGTCATCTTGATATTACTGTTACTTGGAATGTGCACATTCAGTCATAATCTTTCTACTTGTTATATTTCAGCTAAAGTACAATCAAGCAACCACCTCTAAATAACCTTGCATTCAAAATATGTCTCGAAATACTTCAGAAAAAAATACAAGTTAAAATTCTTTTTATATTGTTTTCACAAAAAAAAATTTTTTTAAAAATGAATAATTAATTTTACAGATTATTTGTGTTTTCTTCAAAACTTTCTAGAAAATATAATGCCATCTTTCTGTACTTTCTTTTTTAACTAGCAATTTAACTATGTAATTCGTGGAATATTGTGCAACTGAAAAGAGGTCTGTTTTTTAATCTGAAAGAAAAAAACCATCAAAGGCAATTTTTGAACTTTGAATTTAGCTCTAAAGTCGACTTTAAATCAAGATTACTGCAAAGTATTATTTAAACTCATTATTTTATGTATTGCTTTTCGAATTCTATTAAAAACAATCCTGAAACTTGATGCGAAATTGAATTGAATCATTTTTTAAGCTCAAAGTATGAGGGGAACTGTAATTTGAAAAACCAGTGTCTTTCAAAACTGAAATCATGAATTAGAAATCTTTGTTTTTTTGAAACATCAAGCACATTGTGTGAATGTTTGCTAGTTAGTGTTGCTTTTGAGCAAAAGGAATGTAAATAGATTTACGTTTACCTTTGACAAATGGTACAGTGCTTACTTGCGTAATCAGCTTCTGAGACTGAGATAATATCCACTTAAAAACTTCACAAAATCAGTTAAAAGTGAGCAATTTCGAAATTTTATGAATGTTAATGACTTGAGCTGGAAAAGCGGCTGGGTTCGTTTTTTCCGTCTTGTATTGTCTTATTCCATTTTACATCTGCATTCACTTTCAAAAATATTCTTGATTGGTTGGAGCTGAATAGTTCGTGCTCTTGTGCTTTCATCGCTTGGCATCATCATGTTCATTGATATTGCCATCAAAACTTGCACATCCGGTATCTCGCATATTAAGAAGAATTATGCGTATGGTGTATTTATGTTATAGCAAAATCAAATGTAGAATTTTTTTCAATTTCTTGTGTTATTTCGAGAATTTTTGTTCAATTCATTTTATACATCTTAAAATGGTCTCTTTATTCCTTGCACTTTTATAATTCAAAGGCTTTGAAAATATTAAAAATTGGTTTTAGATTAGCCTGTGACATAGGCATGACATTAATTTGTTGTGTACTACTAACTCATCAATGGTTGAAAAAGTTTTCTCTATGTAATTGAATAACTGCAAGTGAATAAAATTATGTATTTAACTAGTGACTGAAAAAGCTACTTGGTTGAATACTGTTTTGAAATGTGTACTGTTTTTTGGAAGAAATAAGCGAATCGAAATGGCCTGTAATTGTGACTTCGCAGTTTCTACATCATTTAATCACTGATTGAAAAAATTCAATTTTTTAAATAATTGCATCTTCAGCTTTGAATATCATCACATTAATCATTTAGTTAAAAATCTACGTATTATTTGATCGTGCATTTCAATCTACTGATTTTATTTTTCTGTCTTTCTTGTTGTCGACCCTGTTAATTCATAGTGAAATATGAAGTTTGATGATGTTAAACTGTGCCGTTTTCTGAGTTGAATAATGTGGTTTTAATTCTTGAATACTATTGTAATTGATAATGATAAATGGATTCGTCCTGTCTTTTTATCAGATTGATATTGATATTATCTTGAAGTGTTTTACTTTCTCAAAACAGAAAGAGAAAAAGCGGTAACATCCAAACGTGACTAATTATTTTCTGGATTATCCATAAACTATTTTGTAGTTTTCATACGTCAACTAACTTTATATTTCTGAGTAGGCTCTTTTTCTTTGAAATGTGTTACGTGAATATCAATTTTCTGATTACAAGTGCAAAGTTACCACAACTTTATTTCAGTTTCTAAAGGTTTTGTGAATAAATTCATTGTATGTGGCGCTAAAATTTATTGCTTACAAGTAGTTGGGAATCTTGTCATTCTTTGTAATGAAATGATGTGGGTAGAAGTGATTTGCGGCTGTATTCAAATGTTGTTTATATTGATCGTTGTGATTAATGGTTTCGGCATTTGTAATTTTTTCATTTACAATGAGAGAATGCAGTAAAGAAAACAAAATTTGGACGTTCTTTTGCTTGTAAACCTTATGGTTCTCTCTTGAAACCCTGCTTGGACGATCCTATAATAACTTAGCTTGATCTAAATCTGCATTTATTTATTTAACTTTGCATTAGAAAAAAGGGCTGCTTTGTCAGCACTATAATAACTGTGACTAGGTATATGCCTGGATAGAATCGAGTATACTGATTTTCTTCGCATAACGTTTATGGAAGTTACTATGTCATCCTCATCCTATATATCTGCCTTAAGTTTATTATGCAAGAGGTCATACTTTTTCTCGGTCTCAACTACCACCAATCTGTCCAAACTAGTGATGCCAACCTCTTCTACGATTACTTCGTATTGCTTCTTATCGTTCACCAGGGTGTTCGGTCATCCAAACTTATTCTTATCGTTGTTCTTACTCACAACACTTCCTCGTACTGTGTTGCTATATAGTGCATCCCGTATTCACATTTTCCTGCAGTGTGGGTTAAGCTCCAAATATTTCTATCCTGCACCTGCTAGTATCGAAACTCGTCATGTGGAGTAATCTTTCCTTGTCAGAACCACATTGATGAATTGAGTATTGTGACCAATACTCATAACCTAGAATCTTGCAACAAAGCTTTGACAGGTATATATATAGGGAAACAATTTACTACTTTATTTTCACTCTCTTTACTCTATTCTGCTCTATGCAATATATCCCTCTCTAACTAATTCATATTTGTGCAGATCAATACTCAAAGAATATCATTAACATAAAAGTAAAATCATGTGAGGACCATTGTTGCTGCATCTATTTATTTACGTCACCCCCGTTGGAAGTCGTTTTTGGATTCTCAACGTAGATTCTCCATAATTTCATAACAGTGAAATATCAAACAACAGGATTAAATTGCTATAAATTAATGAGAGGTATAACGAAGGATGTAGGTGTATCTGTCTCTCTCTCTATCTATCTATCTATCTGTCTTTTAGTGAGATGACTCTCTCTGAACTTTAATCAGTGCGGTATATTTCAAAGTGCTTTCTTTCTGTCAAAGTATAATGGATATACCGCTGCTGTTACCCTACCCGCTTACCGTACCTCGTATAATTGTGCAATTAGTGTTAATTATAAAAAGGGCAAGATGAAAAGAGTAGAAAAGAGAAATCGATTACTCGAAAAAAGACTTCATAATTGCATTGCACATTTGTCTCTTTCGTTTTGAGGTGTTGAACAACAATAGATGTACTAAAATAAATGTGAATATATTGCTATTTTGTACTTGGGAACATATTTTTAACTTGTTACCAAATATACAGTAATTTTCTATCAGATATCCTCTCTGCTTGTTTATCAGAACGAACAACTGAGGTATTTACAGTCAGTGTCCGAAGTTCTTCTGTCAATGACATATGCATGTACTTTCTTTACTAGTATTTTGTTCAGGAACAAATATGTCGGAAACCTTTGAGTTATCTTCACAGTATCGTTCAACAATGATTTGATTTAATTTTTCTATTAGTTTAAATCATTCATACTATTTTGACATGAATCAGCTGAGAAATTTCGGATATTCAGCAGTGAAATCTTAGCTGCCAAAAGTATTTACCTGTTTGGCAAGTGTAGGTGATTTTCGGGATAAGCTTACATTATGAGAATTTACTGATGAATTTTGCATTCTTTGCTTATTTACAACTGCAGCTTCTATTGCTTTTTTGGATCGGACTAATCCGAGGCTCTAAAAATGAAAGTATTCGGGTGATTTCGATTGTTGAAAACTTTAGTAACAGTGCGCAGTGGGAGTTTCACTCAAAATCGGTGAGGCGTGTACATATTTCTAAAAAAACATGGGAGGATTATTTGAAATATAAAGGTGAGTAAAAGACTAAAAATTTTAAAATATCGTAAGTTTGGTTGTCGTGTGCATTAGGGTGTGGGGACATCGGAGAAGGTTTGCCTTCATCTCACTTTACCAAACAATTTTTTTGATTAGAAGCAGTCATAGGAATCTTCGGATATGGTATGTAATGGAACATCTTTTCTGCACTTCAGGCAATCAAAGTATTAATTTGGACTCATTTGAACATTATATTCTTTAAATATAACAGTGAATTTATCTGATATTCACTGATCAAGAGCAGTAGCTAGTGACTAGTAAGTAGTATTTAAAATATAAAACATCATTTCAGAACAGACATGTCGATTAGAAAATGAGAATGATGCAGAATCAAAAGCAAAGGGTTATCTAAACTGGGAAGAAATGGCTTTTCATAAAAGTTTACGCTTAAAGTAAATTTACTTTTTTCAGTCTTATTAAATTATGGTGCGGTGCTGGAATTGTTGGTCATAACAATTTGCTTGAATGGTATTACAGATTGTGGTGTGAATTGATATTTTTCACTCATCTGTGTAAACTATTATCATGGCATAAGCAACTCAAGATATAAAAGCAGGTCTTCGAAAGAGTAGTGCTGTAGCAATCCTTCAGATTACTTCCGCATTGGTCTCTAGGTGATCCATTATCTTATGAAGATGCAGTCATGCTATCAAACGTAGACAGTCGTCTACTTTTACCAGAACCAGAATCACTTTGCAAATTTGGTTTAGCTGATGATAACGAACATCATGAAGTCACAGATAAAAGTCGTTTTGAAGATACACTCATCAGTCGGCAAGTTACCTTCTTTTTTAGCTGGGGTTTGCTTCTCCTTATTTCAGACCATATGTTACGTTATTAATTTGTTCTTCTAGTCTAGTGATATTTAGTATATGTAACCTTATAATTTAAAAATCTTGATCATGCATGGAAATTACTTTGTAGCTAAATTACTAATCACCAAAAATTTTCTTTGTCTTAAGACAGTCTTATAATTTAAAATTTGTTGATTTTGTATTTCGTTTTCTTTTTTATTGTATTTTTATTTCCTTAGTTGTATTACGCACTGAAGTACTTATTTTCTTATCTTTTCGGTTGATTGCATGCATTTTTTTTGCATGTTTTTTAGAAAATTGCAATACTATCAAATTCAGAGCTGATTAAAAATAAATTTAGTCTATTAGTAGTTCTTACAGTTTACATTGCCTGGTTTGAAAAATTGCTGCACTTTGCTTGTTACATTTATTTATTTTTTTGATTACTTCAATTTATTATTTATTTGCATAAATGCAAGGAAGTTAAAAAGAGCTTTTTATTTTGAAAGAAATACGATCACTATTAGATGGATGCTTTGCTAATTATTAATACGTTTCTACGTAATCTAAAATTTTGGGCGTAACAGATATTATAATGCTAAAATAAAGCTTTGCTTGGAAGTAACTTTTTTGTATAACCTCACTCTATGTTTGTTGCTTTTTTTATATGTGAAGCGAGCTTAATTTATCGTCAGTTTCATACTTTGAGCGTAGATAATTGTTTGTAGATTGTTTCATAAAGAGATGCTGGTATCGGAACAAGACAACTCAAGACAATAAACATGAACAATTATTTGAATCATTATCTGATTTTGATATCAGTGTAGCATAAAGAAATCGCAGCAATCAAGCGGATAGAACATCTGATTTATCAGATTCTAAGATGAGAAGTCTAGCCATTATCTTTTTGGCTGATTGCATGCATATCTTTTTTCACTTGACTTTGAAAAAGTTTTTAAACTTTTTCTCACTTTTGTTGCTGACTTTTTGCTTCTTCTAAAAATAACTGTATGTATCTTCTTCGCCTCAAGATTTCACATTTTCTATACTTATGGGAATGAAGATTTATCAGTTCTCTACAAAAAGTTGACGAAAGTATGCAATTCTTCTATGAAAACAGAGATGATTTATTGTTAAATTTACACTCTTCACTCTCTTACGCTTCATTTGCACGCGTTCCACCAGCATTATAGTTTTTGTTGAATTTTTATATGTTTTACGAATACATATAAATTATGAACTGTATTGTGAATGAAATTCCTCTGTGCTAGTATTCACATAATTTCTTCTTTAACATGTTATAAATTCTGTCTCAATATCATGGAAGCTGATGACTTTTTGCCACTTTTTTCTTGCACTACAAGAATAATTCTGTTTATATGACTAAGGAAATAAAAATTAACCTATTTTACCCAAAAAAGAAAAAAATTTCTGCAGTTCGATCATCATTATTCTAATGTTATCTTCATTTTGACTGATATTCATATTTCGTAATATTTATCTTTATCTGTAGTTTGACCTCTTGTGATCCATTTCTGTATTGCAGATATTCTCTAAGTAGTCATGAATGAATTCCAATATATGAATAGAGTTTTCATGGATTGTAAAGACTGAATGAAAGTGGGAGACTGTTTTGTACTGCTCTGTATTGAAGTATATTTTACTGATATTATTGTCTAGAATCCGCTTGATATTATTTTAGTGTATTGCAGAATTTTTGCTGTGCCAATATGGGACGACGATTACGGCTATTAGTATAACAGTTTCGATCAGTAATGTACAATGAGGCTTGTAGTAAACCTGCTAATAATAATTTAATAGAAAGTAATCACTGCTAGTAAGCATTAATATTAACGAGTTGCAGTTGGGATTCATTTCAGAGTGAGTTCAAAAATTTTTTGGAATCTGTACTTGCTCTTTTCCTCATTTTCTTAATAATATCGAATTTGATGTCATGTTTAAATATTGACTCTGATTACATATTCTTGTAATAATTTGCTTGTAAATATTTATCTTGAAACTTTGTGATTTATTTTGATTGTCTACTATTTTTGAACTTATTAAATCGTTGTAAAGACAGATCTGAAGAATGTCGGAGATGAAATGCTTTGTTTGAACTGAGACGAACATTGTAAATAGTTGTCATAAAAATATATTTTACTGCAGCATAATATATATATTATATATGTATATATAATATAATGTGGATTGTAGTCAGGTAACTTTTCTCCTCATATATTAAGATTCGTTTGTGATATCTTATCTGCGTTCATATTTTTGACTTGTTAACTTCTCAAGGGATATGAAAGAAGTGAAACATTACTGCAAAGTTATATTTCCAAGAATAAGCTTGTGCTCCTGTTACTCATTTGAACATTGTCAATGTACCAATGCTACAATTTTTCTGCTTTGTTCACAGGGATTCATTCTGTTCGTGTACAAAAATTCGTGCTTGACTTATTTTGTACAGTAATTTTGTTCATTCGTGATTCACTGTAGTAATTAATCCCATTTCAAAAGTAGCTTGCAATATGATTCAGCGTATGACTGTTTACCGTTATCTGGTGAGAGTATAATACGCTTGGCACTTGTGAGTGATGTTGCTTTCTGCAAAATAAAGAGCTTCGCGTGATTCAGTACTTCACACGATTTAGTGCTTGACTTATATTTTATAGTAATTTTCTTCTTTCATGATTCACTGTAGTAATTAATTGCATTTCAAAAGTAGCTTGCAGTATGATTGTTTATTGTTTTTGAATTAAACCGTTGTAGAGACAGATCTGAAGATGTCGGATATGAAATGTTTTGTCTGAACTTAGACGAACAATGTAATTACTTGTCATGAAAGGTTGAATTATAGGCAGGTTAGTCAGAATAAGTTAACAAATGTGAAATACTCAAGAAGTGGTTTGATCGCTTCTTTGTTTTACGGAGTGAATTATTACGTTACTCTGCTTCTAGTTTACACATGGCGATTGCTCTTTGTTAACATCAAGATCATTCAAATTACGCAAAATATATCTTCTCAAAAATTCTGAAACTGTGAAGTGATGGATATAGCTGCAATAAACAGAACTACTAAGTGCTTCTAGTTATGTATTTGAAATTTTTGTTACTGCATCGCTATTCTAAAATAAAGTCTTTGTTGATTTGTTGAAGCGATTTAAGGCTTTCTGTTTTGGAAAGTATAACTCTCTGAAAAACATCGATGACATTGAGTAAATACTCATTCGTCAGTATTGGACTCTAGAGTCAAAGAACTTCTGCGTTTAGTACTAACAACCGATACAAGGTTTGATCTTTTTTGCCTTCATTTGTTGAGCGTTATAAACTTAATTAAATCTGAACATCAATTTTTGATACAGTACCAAAAACATGATGATGAAAGAAGTTACCATCACAGGACAGCAGAAGAAAGGAAGAATTTCGAGAGAAGACATTTGCCTTGATAGGTATGTGGACGTGTAATTTAAGAATTTTGCCTATTTTCTAGTAAAATGTCACTTTGTTAATTCATTCAATTTCTAATCTATTTGTCTTATCCATTCATTACATCAATGGCAGTTCTTGATCGCTCTGAGACAAAATCTCCTATAATTCTGAACCAAACGATGTACTCACTCATCGCCATTATATACATGCCCAATAAATTATTCTTGTTTACAGAATGAACGAGACTTGGAAATCGGAGGTGTCAGCATTGTAGAACCATGTGTTCACGTTTGACATTTAATTTTGTTAAGGACGAATATGCATAGAAGGAATTTTGCTCAACACTTTGAAAAAGTGCATAAAAACTTAGAAAATTCAAGCCTTTAACGCTTTGAAAACTGCCCTCTTAATAATCATTCCATATATACTATAGCTACTGTAACCTCACTTGAAAATTGCCGCCAAGTTAATAACAGATAAGAATCAGATCAATTTAATTGTATGTTAAAAAGCAGAAATCAGTAAAGGTTGAGCAAATACAGTACACCGATAAAATCACTGATTTTTTTACACAACCTTCTATTGTATTCTATCAAATTTGGTTGTTCAATTTCATCAAGTTCACTGCTTCAAGACTATAATTTTAACTAAATTTAACTTTAACATTCCTAACCCTATTGTAACACAAAACAAGAACTGCACGGTCTTTATGTAGATTTTAAAGTCGTCATTATTATAATCTACAAAAAATTATACACTTTATCAAACAACCGCCTTATTAGTAACGCAACATAACAATCCAACGAAACGTATTTTAAAACAAGAGAGAAAAGAAATTCTCAAACGAATTTTAAAAACTCCCAAAAACATTCAATTTATTAAGGTAAATTCAGTAACGAAAGATTAATTTATGCAAATATCCGATCATCCTTTGGATAATGATTAAATATACGAGATTAGATACTCATTAATTTCACTATCTGAAAAAATTTACATCTTAAATGAACGTTAGCAAAAAGAAATATCTCTCCAAAAATACTTCAATCAAATAAATCAACAGTATGCAAAAGATTTTCTACCCATATATTTCTTATGCATTTATGCTGCGGGTTCTTTTGGTGTATCAAATGGAGTATCAACGGGCAGTTCACCACAATCCACAATCACAACATCTTTTGCCGGACGATCCCCTGCAAGTGTTTCGGTTTTTTCAATAGTCTTCACGACGTCCATTCCAGAGAGTACTTTCCCGAACACAACATGACGGCCATCAAGCCACGATGTTTGCACCTAAATTAATTGTAACAAAGTAATCCGTAAACAATGTTAAATAATAAATAAGTTAACACTCTGTTTGATACCGTCGTAATGAAGAACTGTGATCCATTTGTGTCGGCTCCAGCATTAGCCATACTCAACCAACCAGCACCGTAATGCTTCAGTTTGAAGTTCTCATCCTCGAAACGATCACCGTAAATACTTCTGCCACCAGTCCCATCACCGCGCGTAAAATCACCACCTGAATAAATTACAAATACATCTTTATGAATTTTTTGACCTCAATTCGCGTTAAGCACTACTTATTGAAACACGATAAACTAACATCACCTTGTATCATGAATTCTGCGATAACACGATGAAATTTAGATCCTTTGTAACCAAAACCTTTTTCGCCAGTCGCTAGTGCTCGAAAGTTTTCTACTGTTTTCGGTACTTCATTGCCAAACAGTCCGATTTCTATTCGTCCAATCTAAAAAGATCATAATTTTTAACCCTGAAATCACTGAAACAAATGAAAAAAAAACAATTCTGCAAATTTTAAGATGCAATAATACTATAATTACATCACAAAAAGATTTTTTCAAATGCAAATAAAACTTAGAAAAGACTTGACTGTAAAAAAATATAATAGAAATTAATGTACAAATCTCAGAAACCTTTTCATTCTCAATCGCAATATCCAAGTAAACTTTTTTGGTAACTGTAACTGATTCTTTGGCGTTAACGAAACCAAGGAAGGTAATTGTAGTCACTGCAGTTACTGCCAGTAAAAAATGCATAATCTCCTAAACAGTGAACGAGCTAATATATTAATAAACACAATAAAACTTGTGAGAATTCGTGCCAGAAAAAATTATTCATGAGTACGACGATACCAGCAATTACGAAGATATATTTCTCCTATATTGTGAAACCAAAGAATGTCATGGACAGCATCATGATTTAACAGCCCAACAAACAGCTCATGGTTTATAAATTACAATGTATTCACATGATAGAGATCCACATAAGCGAAATGATTATCCAAAAAATGCACAACACTGATACCAATACAATTGAAAATGTTTATATCCTGTACTATCGAGTATCGAAGGAGATGCTTTCGACCGTCTTCTTGAGAATCATTGATTAGATGTACGCCACGACGTGATCAGATACACTGATTTCCTTCATTAGTGTTCGTGGAAGTTCGTTTCGATCCCATCCCAAGTCATCACGTACGGAATTATTTACGACCTGCATTTCATCTTTGCCTCGAATTTATCAGCGAGTATAACTTTCCTCTTAGTATCGACTGCTATCAGCCTGTCCAGACCATGATGCCAATATCCATCAGCATTACTCCACGTCGCTTCTTATCATGTATCACAGTATCCGGTCGATCCATACTTATTTTTATAGTTGTTCTCACCCGCCTATCGACTGTGATCTTAACGTTCTCATTGGCGACGACTTCCTGAATAGAATGGCGGTTTCGCAAGCGCGGAAATGCTTCCAGACCATACTTCTTGCAGAGTCCCAAGTGCATGCATCGTAGGATATCATTGTGTCTTCTAATATAGTCTGATATAACATATTTTCGCACTGTGTTGCTAGATGGTCCACCGTTTTCACACGTTCCCCACAATGTTGGCGCATACTTTTCTCACCTCCAAACATATTTCTGTTTTGGATACAGTATTGTGCTTCATATTGCGGAGTAATGTTTCCGTATTGTAGCTATATTGAGGAGTCAATGGACGAGATCTTATTTGTTCGCATCTTGTATAGCTTTACATGGTGAGTTTTCTTTTCTATTTCGCTATACAAGGACGCCTTCTGGGCTGCTAATACGTTTTCAACGGTAGGATTTTCTGCGA